CGTCTGCTGAGCACGCTGGACACAAACAGAGCTTAGGGCACCCGCTCAACACACACCAGACCTGCCCCCTGCACACGGTGTTAACTGTCTGCTGACAGCGACCCTGCCTCTCCAGAGACACGCTGGAAGTCATTTCTTCCACTTACCTGATTTTTCTGGGTAAATGTAAAGAACACACACAGGACATAATTTTACATGATTTTAAAATGAAGTATTGCTAAAAGCACTATGGATTGAGTACTGTGGCAAAAATCCAACCTGAATAAACTGTGTACACCTTAACAGTACCTGGTTTTTCTCTAGCTGTTTGCCCGCAGCTGCTTGTTCTTTCAATTGCTCAATTGCCTTTAGTTTCTGAAAAAAAAAAAAAAAAAAAAGAAGTGGGTGAACCAAGAAAAGAAAACAGTCTGTAGAAGTCCCTGCACTTGCTATTGCCTGGTTTAAAAGGAGCCAGTTCTCAGCAGGGAAGATATTTCATTTGAGCATCTAATCCAGAATTTTCCCACCCATAAGAAACATGTCTTTCAAAACAAGAACCTAGAGAGCACAAGTACTTAGTCTGACACAAACAGCATGCAGCGCCAGACTGAAGGCCTCAGCCAGAAGCAGAAATGAACATTTTTGCTATCATTATGCAACTTCTCCATATATTTTCCTCAGAAAGTTTGGAACATTAATCAAATCATAGGAACATAAAAAGCAGGAAAAAGCTATGAGAAAAAATCCCTGATATATTATGGAGAAATGGGAAAGATTTTCTAGACTGTAGCAAACAACTTCCATCCTGAAATTATCTAAAACAAAGAATTCCTGAGCTTTGCAATGAACTTTCCACTCATGCCATTTAAAAGCTTAGGAAGAAACTCAGCCCACATAGCATGGTTCACCTTCTCAGATTCAAAAATCTACCTTACACTGCTCAAAAACTCTCAGGAAAAACAAAACAAAACATAACCTTAAGATTAGAGGAAGAAGAGAAATAGTCCTGCCTAGAAGCAAAGCAGCTTCCCAATCATTCACAGCTGGGGCAAGCACAGCCTGAACAAGATGCCCACACAGCTGCTCTCTAAGCATAACCCCTATTAAGCTCTACTCCCATTCAGCAATAATATTCGTAAGTAAGAGAAGACTGGACTGTTTTTTCCATATATGTTTCAGCGTCTTCTACGCTGTCCAGATGCTCCTCTGGTAAGGGCTGTAAGGACAAGTGACGACTCTTACTATTTTGCAAGATGGAAACCAGAGGAAGATGTTTCTGGAATCTGGCAAATCTGCTACTACGTTAATGCTATGTCACTGAACTCAGTCACCTTACAGCCAAGATCTCAAAGACCACCTCTTGGAGAAAACAGCCACTCAGAAAAATCCCCTCACCTTTTTTAAATTCTTTATCTTTCTGTCTACTTCAGGATCTCCCGATGTCACGACAGGCCCAGTGTTGCGTGGCGCATTCTGCGACGCCGAGGGCTGCGTAGATTCCTGGCTGGCATCAGCTTTGGCCTCCTGCAAACAGATGTAACATGTGCTTTACCTACAGAAAGTAGCTCAAATCACAAAGGGATTGGTACAAATCTCTATAATCACTGGAAGAAATCCGCTTCTTCCTCCACTAGTTTGCTGGTGCTCTCTCAAACTTGCAACTTACCTGTTGCATAGTTTCCATTAAGGGAAAAGGGAAAGGTTATCTGTAAAATGCATATGCTGTTCTTATTTATCTTTTTTTCTTCCCCAATACAAAAATAGACAAAAATCAGTAGGGAAGACAAGACAAGCACGTTCATTAATATTTTTAAAAGCAGACTCGTGGTTCATTGTCTCCAAAGCAAAAGAAAGGGCTCAAACCAGTAAAAGAAAATAAAAAAATCCAAGCTTGTACTTAGAGATTAGTATTTCAGAAGTTTGCAAGAACTGGAGGGCTGGTCAAAAGCTGTTTTTAATCTACTTAGCAAAGGAATAAAAAGAGGCGAAGAAGAAAATAAAAGCCGAACCAGCACCCAAGGGCAGCCTCTCGCTGCTGTGCCCTGCTGAGCTGCCGGCGGGACGCACGGCGCAGCCGGCCCGCGCTCACCTCTCCGCTGCGCCGGGGCAGCAGCACAGGCTGCAAGGGGCTGGGAAGGCAGCGGAGCCCAAGAGCTGCCCCCTCGGCCCCAGTCTGCCTCAGCCAGCAGCAAGGGCACAGCAAGGGCACAGCAAGGGCACAGCAAGGGCACAGCAAGGGCACAGCAAGGCGCTGCCACCCGCTATCGCACCGGGACAGGCGCCCGGAGCGGAGCACGGGCAGCACCGAGAGACCATCTCACTGCAACCAGCAGCCCTTGTGCTGACACTGACCGCCACGTGGGTGAAAGTTAACGTAGCCTTTTCCCTAAAAGAGCTACTTTTGTCATACCTGTTTAGCAGCCTTCTTCGCTTCATGTTTCCTTTGATTTTTGAGAGCTGTTTTAGAGAGGGGCTTTTCACTGCTTCCAGACTGTGGTTTCATATTTTGAGGTGGCTCATCCTCATGCTGTAGGATAGGCAAAATTAATATTCTTGAAACTTTTATTCTGTGTTGATAAACATGATTTTACAAAAAACAAAAACAAACAAACAAACAAAAAAAACCCACCCACCCCACACTGGATCCCCAAACCTACTAAAGGCATCAGCATATGCCAAGATGAACCAGGAAGGAAAAGGATATATATATATATTTCTTCTTCTTCTTTAAAAATACAAGATTCAAAGTTCTCTGAGGTTTAAATTTAAACATCAAGGCCACAACTATTAAATGCAATTATCTGCCTCACTCAACCTACTTTGAAAGCTGACAGAAAATGAAACTAATTAAACGAGTAGGTCCCTGTGTGAAACCTGCTCCGACAGCAGCGGAGCAGCCGCCTCCGGGTCCGTCCGAGCCCAGGGGCAGGTGCTCTGGGCAGGAGGGTCACCAGAGCTGCAGCTCCTCCTGCAGCCGGGGCACTTGGCCTTACTGGGCACCAAATCTGCAGCTCCCTGTTCTAGTGCTCGTTGTGGGCAGCAGTTTTCAAGCTTGCAAACAGTTTTGTGGAAGAAGAAGGTTTTGACCAAAGAAAATTTCTGTTTTCTAGGATAGGTTATTCCAAACAAGCAGGAGAATGCTGGTCAGTGAAAGATTATCCAGAAACAAACAAAAAACCCACCACCACCACCACAAGCTCTCAGAAACCCACAATATCCCTTGAGTTTGATCGCTCTTCTAAGTCCCCCATTACAAACACGCGTACGCGTGAGGACCAGCTCAACGCTGCGGCAGCGATGAGCAGAGCAGCAGCCCCGCGCGGGCCGCGGCGCACGTACCAGCTTGGAGGCGGCCCCCGGCTTGTTCCTGAGCGCCGGCGGCCTGTACGCCTGCGCGGGCCCTGCCAGAGCTCCTCGCCGGGCGGCACCTCGCGGCTGTGCAGGACGGCGCCCGTGTAGTGCCACATCTTGTAGCCGTTGCCCACGCGCAGGCGCGGGGCGCACGTGGCCGTGACGATGTGCTCCCCGTCGGGGCACCAGGCAAAATACGTGGAATCCGACGCGACCGGCTTGGAAATTAGCTTGTAGTTTTTAACGTCCCATACTTCCATCTGTCCTCTGAGATTTCCAAATCCTGCTAGCACTAGAATGTGTCCGGGGGGGCTGTAGTAGGCGGCATTGCGAGGGCCAGTTCCAAAATCAAACACAGGGTCACATTTCAGATTAAAAACTGTTGCTTTGGCAGGCATAAAACCATACACAGCACAAAACTCGACAGAATTGGGATTCCAAACAACATCATAAATAGGACCGTTTTTTGCTAAAGGAAAAGGAAAATGCAGCTATTGTTATGAAATTTTCATTTGCCCTGAAAAGATACTAATAATAATTCTTATTTTTATATTTTGCTAAACTCCAATAGCCCAATTATTGACAGCAAGAATGAAGTCTGCTAACAATAATGGCAGAAATAAAAAACATTTTATATTCTGATAATCTGAGATAAGGTTTGCAACAATAACTGCAGCCATTCCAAATTACCTCTGTACGGTCAGCAGCAGCACTTTAATAGTAAGCATATTTTTTCATGTATAAAAACTCCTTTATCTTTTTTTTTCCTGGTTATTCAAGTATGATATCTCAGAGCCTTCTCAAACTGTCCCACTGGAAACCTGCAAAAACAGGAGTTTTATACCAGCTGGATACTAGGGTTTTTTTGTTTAACTCTTAAAAACCATTACATTAACTTAGGTTCACACAGCTAAGAAATATTGATCTAAATTTTCTTGGGACCATGCTCATACGCAGTATTTTGAGACACAGATTTTTAAGGGGGAAAAGATGTTTTTATGCACTCTGATCAAAATTACGTGCTGTTGGAAACTACTCTGGGGCTATAACATTAAGGCCTACTGAAGGAGATGGATATGTGATCAAAATGCATATAAAATGTCAAAGGGTTAATAAAAAACCCAACTCATTATAACACTCCTAATCTGGGCTCCTTCACTTTTACCTCTTTTAAATTCCAACTGCAATAATTCTTAAATTCACACATTGACCAAAAATACCACAGCAGCTTGAACTGTTCAATCCTGTTGCTATTTTAAAGCCTTGTTATCTTTAGAAACTGGGCTATGCAATCCCACTGTGGCATTTGTCCCTTCACAAATTTTTAGATGATGTTAATCAAATGTGACTTTAAAAAGCTTCAAAATTGGACCTTAAAAACAACCAAAAGATACAACTCAAAAGGAAACTCAACTTCTTTCACCCCCAAGTGCTCACTCTGCTCCCCATTCCTTGCGTAACTATGTCTAAAAACACATGCAGGATTATTCTGTTTAGCAACATACTTTTCTGAACATTTTGGATTCTTGAGCATTAATCTGGTTTCACTATGCAGGCCATTCCTTAATGATCAACATTCCTGAGCTATACGCACGAACCCAAACCAATTATTTATTTTAATTGAAAGCATTGGAGAAAAAAAAAAAAAGGAAAGAAAACAAAACTCTGGTAAAGGATTATTATTTTTGCTTGTTTAGAAAACAGAGTACTCATTGCATCAACCCCCAAGATGACACGCTAAGCAGGAGCTGATGACACAGCAGCTGCTCCTGCTGCAGCTCCGCGCCGCGCGCCCGCCCGCGGTACTCACGCAGCTGCACGACGGCGCTCTCCCCGTTCGTTGCGATGTAGTGCAGGGTTTGCTCTCCATAGTAGGAAGCTCCTGATTTATCGACTTCTGTGCTAGCTATTACTAGCACAGCAGTGGCTAACAGAAAGACGTACAGCTAGTTCAGTACAATTGCTGCAAATCACATAAACTATTTCACAAACTACCACTGATGAAGAGGAAATTAGTTTGGCTGTGAATTCTGCAGTTAACATTGCTTCAGTAACAGTGCTGTTTATCATTCCCTTCTCAGTTGAAAATTTCCTAAACATTGACCCAAACAGAACTGGTATCTTAAATTTTTGGATGAAGAGGGTAAGCTAAGCCCATTCATTCATTCACGGTTCCATTATAAGGAAGTGAATTCACTTTTTAAGCATAAAAAACCTGTTTTATTAGGTTCCCACAGTAGCAAGATGCCTTAAGCTTTTCACCTAAGCCAGAGATCAAGCATCTTGATCAATCCTCAACTAAAGTATCTCATCAGCAGCTTTTGTACACACATCTACTTTACGCAAACGTGCAGAAATCACACGCAGGTACAAAGTTATGCAATACCTTCCCTGTAATCTAAACAACGGGGGTTGAAGTAAAACAGGTTTTCAGCATTTTCTGAAACAACCATCATTGCTCACAAACAACAAAGCAAAGCATGCAGAGGATTGTGCAAGCCATTCCATTTGCTATGCGCCTGTATAAATACAAATTTACAGGAAAGTAAGAATGTTTTATGCTCTGATGTAGTCTTATGTTTACATCTTAAACACGGTATCATCACAAAACTGGATTTAAATTTGCAAATCAATTGCAACATTTGCAGATATGTAGAATATTCTGAGTTACTATACACAAAAATCAAACAAGTCAATATGGGAAACTTCACGATATTCAGAATTGTAACCTGAACATTGCATAGCTGAATGGCTATCTTAGTATTTATTTATGTATGCAAATATCATGCAAAACTTGCACAGTAAACAAATAAATTAAATCAGTAATAATAATAATAATAATAGGAGTTAAATATACATCTGTTATACCTTTTTTGTTCCATAGCATTGTCACCTTGTCAGCTTTAAAGAAACTTTTATTGGCCAGTGCAGAGTGAGGACCACCGAAGTTGGGGTACTGATAGAGCCTGACGAAGGAGGGTGCACCCTTGCTGCCCGGCACGTACACAGCAACCTGCAACAAAGCAGCGCGTCACACCGCCCACGCTGCCCCCGGGCTCTGAGCACTGCTCATTCTCTGTGTTTAAATTCACAGAGTTTGAAGGAAACCAAGAATCAAATTGTGAACAAACATCAGAAATACCTTGGTTGGCTGTGCTCCCGGCGACAACACGAAATCGCTAACCTTTTGCAAGTGTAGTTTATTTGCAATAGTATCTGAAAAAGAAAATCACAGTTGTGATGCTGTTAATGACACATTTCATCACATTACATTTCTGATTAGATCACTTTTTATTTACAAAAGTACCTTGGTAATCATTTGAGTGAAGCCTGGCTTTGAAATCCAGTGCAGCATTAGGAAGTTCAAACAACAAGGACATTTCCGGGCCCGTGTGAACACAGCTCGTGTTTTAAGGAAGTGACAGTGTCATTCATCTCATCTGCCCTCACTTGAGGAGCAGCAGCAGCGGTCACGTCCAGATAACATGCACCATCACACAAAGACAAGGGGCTCTCCTCCCTGCAGCCCTACCGTATGTGTCTTCCTAATATGAAGTTTTCATAAAGGCCTGTTCTGCATTAGGCAGTGTTCTTTACACAAAGAAATTAGGGAAGTGCATCTTGGATGCTCTTAAAAAATGAACAAGCAACAACCCAAAACATTCCCTCACAGAAGACTGGAGATTAGCAGCAACCCTCACATTACAACACATTCTGGATCTCTCTAGGACAGTGTCAGGCGGGAGAATATGGGTGCCTACAAACACCAGAATAAAAATTAAATAGTATATTAGCACAAGAGAAATGGACAACTGCTCTTTAATTTGAGCAGAACAAAGTAAAAGCCAGCATCCATCAGAATGTGGACACAGTAAACTACTGCTGTGATGAGTAGCCCCTTGCAAGGGGTCTGGGCAAGACTAATACCCAGCATCACTTGTAAATCCTAAGAAGGAGGTTTGGTAGCTGCGGTTAAATACAGATTTTCAAGCTGAACTGCAAGTTCATTTCATTGACCACCTCCCTGCTGATGCTGGGGACATTTACACTGCTCTAATACACACTGTAAACACACAGCATTACGAGAATTGCTCTCTTAACATCATCTCTAAATACACCAAGGATCAGACAGGAGGCAGGAAAAAATAATTAAAGCAATTGCAAGTTCAGCATATAAAACACCCCAGCGGTAAGAAATTACTTTCCTCTGTACAATGACTGACAGGCACTGTGGTTGTATTTTTTTCTAATGGAAAAGAATGGTGAACATCTTCATACAAGATTATTAATCCTGTAAAAGCTAGTTTTAAAAAAATAAAAATAAAAAAATAAAAAAGAGAGAGAAAGGAAAACTGCGAAGAAGAACAAAGGCCAACTCCTATCTTACTGAAACCATCTTATTGAAATACTTGCGTACTAAAGTTGTTGTTTTCAAAGAAGTGTACTTCGTTGTTTACATTCCTGGCACAAATGCTTTCATCATCTGCCCAGCAAGGACACCTACATTTAAGGAAAAAAAAAAAAAAAAAAAAAACAGAATTGAAGAAACAGTGAATAATGGCCATCCTTAGCAGTCTACTTTTTTTCTTTGTTTTATAAGGCAAAGCTAAATGAACCATGCTAAATGTTTCAAATGCACAAAATGCATTCTCCTGATTAAAAAAAGACACAACCAAAAAAAAAAAAAAACACCCCACAACTACACTTAGAGTTGCTGTCTCCCCAGTTTACTTCATATTGCAAAACAACAGTGAATTTATACTGAGAACAGTGAATTTATACTAAGAAATGAACAACCATGTACAAAGAGATTTACAAGCATGGATGCTTGCTTTCAGCTTGTAGCAGGCAGTATTTTGAAAACCAAAACCATACTAAATACCATATTTAGCTAGAGGAAATACTGGAAATCACACTTTTTTGAAAACAATTGGTATCTGGAAGTGTCATTTACCAGTTCTGCATCTTTTTCTGGATGAAAGACTTTAAACATTTTCCAGTTTTCAAATCATAAAGTTGCAGGTTGGGCGCCCCTGCTGTGCCGTCTTTCGCAGCTGCAACAAAAACACATATTACATTAAATCTGCATCATGACAAGCAACCAAACATACATAAGCAAATCCCCTATACCCAGAGGGCCAAGCCCAAAGCTGTTAGCAGCCTTGGCTATTACCTGAAGTCTGTTTATAGTCTTTCAGCCTGCACAAACAACCATTTGGCATTTCGGGGTTACTACTCTCATTGCTGTAGAAGGGAACAAGACTAGGACCACCAGTGCTAGGACAACTTTTTATATACATGTTTTCTAATTAGAACGGAGCTTTAGAGATGCTCCTTCTTGGCAAACAATAGCAAGCAGACTCTCCTCTGCTATGTTCTGTCCTCCTAGGGATGTATCACACATTTTGTCCCTCATGTCACATTCACTGCTTCTACAAGCTACAGAAAATGTCTCTCTGCTGGTTTTACACTTTCTGTACCCCTTTACTCACTGTGAGCACGACAGCTATCAGGCTGCCTGCTGGAATCATTGCTGGAAAAGAGCTCTAAGCGTCTTCTGACAGTCCAGGCACTTGTCCTGTCCTAGGACCTGCCCCAGACACTTCCCACACTCTAGCCTTTCCACCACGGGAAGCACCTGCAGCTCTCACTACGGTCACACCGCTTGTAAAAGACTCAGGCTATGTGGAATTATATTCCTGACTTGCACAGAGTCAGAGAAGAGGAAAAACCCCAGCGGGAACACTCCACGTTAGCCATGCCCAGTGCAGAACACCTTTACTCTGAGGCAGTTAATAGTTTTCTTTGTTTAGACAAAAATATAAATTGCCTGAACAGCATGGTAGGCAAAGATACTCTTAGTTAAAGCACCAAGATCAATCAAAATCACTTATAAACATGGGATTTTCTTAACGGAGTAATAACCACACGGGAATCCTGATCTGCTGCTTGCAGGAAGGGTAAATGCCAAACACCTTCAGGACAAGTCACCTCTGCTAGGTACCCAATTAACCACGCAGCATCGGCACGGTCCCTATCCTGCCCTTTAGCCAATTAACTTGCTAGGATGTCAAACTGGGCAGTGAAAAGTCTGCAAAAGGAGTTCAGACATGCAGCTATCTGTGTATTTTTGTAGCTGGTAAAATACTCACTTGAATAGGCCTGCCATGTCACCAGAACATTATTCTTTGGTGAGAATTCAAGGCAAACTGCCTTTGGAAGATCAAAAGAACGCAGTAATTCAGCACTGGTGACGTTAACAATATTTACTCTGGAATCAAAAGAGGTCATTTCAGTAAAACACACTTAAACTGGTTAATTAACAGCCAAGGTAATTTTTTACATTTTTACTTCTCAATTTGTTCCAAATTTGGCCAGGGTAACAAAATTAGAAGAGGGATTCTATTTTCCCATTCTGCTTTGACTAAGTATTTGTAGAACATTTCAAAACAGATGTCTAAATGTAACAGAAACTGAGCAAGTGGAAATCCTGGTCAAAACACCGTGTCTTTTGATCTGCACATGTGGACCTGAATCGAGACATTTTCATCCATTCCTCCACAGTGTTAAAGTTGAGCAAGGACAACAGAGAATCTTCTAACAGAATCAAAACATATGTTTGTCCCACACATTCTTACAGTTCTTCTGCCTCTAAGGGTTCTACATTTAATGTTTGGATTTTGGGAGCAGGGAGGGAAGAGACACAGACAATAAGAATCAAAGGTCACAAAGTTGAACTAGCACAGTCAAACAGTATCTCTGACACTCTATGTTAAAGATCCGCAACACACAGGATCTAAAGAACACAAAATGATAAAGTCCACTGTTTTGCTCAGCACCCAAGGTAAAGGCTGTGATTAACCCCCTGCCCCACGAAGGAGGGCGGCCGGACACGGCTCCCGCGCGGCGCCGCGGGACGGGGCAGCTCTGCCCTTGGGAGCATCTGCAGGGGACTTGGCAAGAACATGATCCTGATACTGCACTATTTCACAACCATACTGCTGTGATACTGCTACTGCACTAACACGGACATTCCAGAAGAAGCCTGGTCACATATCTGCAGCAGCTGCCCCAGGATGTCCTCTTATATAAAGGACAATCTCCGGGGTGCTCTATCACACAGCGTCTATAAAACAGAAATCTTGTGATGTTCGTATGTGCGGTGCAAAGAATCTTCATTTTCCATGAAGTTTACTACTACTTTATATTCAGTATGATGGATATCAACTTATTTTCAAATAACTCAGTAAAAAAAGCCACTTACACAGCTAGACAGCAGTCCTACACCTGCTGACACTCAGAATATTCAAAAAAACCCACATTATCATACAGTCAAAAGGCAGGCAAGAAAGCCAAGAGTCTACTTCAGAGGCAGCAACGCAATCCTGGGTTGTGCTGCTGGGATTAACCCCAGAAGGTCAGGTACTACTGTACTGGGAAACCTTGACAACCCCCTTACAGAGCATATCCAGATTCCACAGCAATGGGTGCATTATAAATATGAGAAAACAGTAAATATTTCACCTGAAATACAGAAAACAAAACCACTGCTGCAGACAGTTCAAAACGTTAAAGTAACACACCAGCATCTTCATTCACAGCCTTTAGGCACGTGAGAGTAAATGTGGCAAAACTGACCCAGCTTGCTTGATTCAAAATAAATGATTAATATCATAAAGCACACTAACTTTTCACCATTGCACCAGCCAAAGAGGGAACCATCCTTGCTAAAAGCAACAGCTTTGCAGTTTTTTCCAGAATCCCTAAAGAAATAAGAAAAGCACATTAATATTCAAATATACTGCATAAGTTAAGCTACTTTTAACAAAAGTGAAAAGCAACACTTCGGTTTTCCAGCTGCATACCTGAATAAGTCTTTGCAGCAGTAACAGTGCAATATACCCTGCAGTTGTTCAGTCTTTACTGCTTTTAAGTACAAAAGGCCAATCAGAAGTCAGGCAAGCCTACAAGCTTCAAAGTCATCAATTTTCTAAACTATAGACAGGAAGAAAAAATCCACTTGCACTTCTAAATGTTTAAATTTCACAGTGTACATTTACTATTTAGAAAATGTTTTTTTATTTTGTGTGTGTGTGTGAAATGTCTAAAATGCCTGGAGGGACAGTACCTCTGAAACGTTGCACTCTCCGTGAAGCTGGGGGGCCCGTTCACCATGTAAAGCCCTTCAGATCCTCTCACTGCAACGGAAGCAGATAAAGCAGTATTCATTTCACATTCAGAGAAACATCCAAAGCAAAAACTTTAAACTGTCAACCTCAACACCTGCACCCACCTTTCCCCCGGCCAGAATTTTAGAATAAAGGTTGTCAAAGAAGAAGATTGCAATGGAAATTCTGAATATAACGTGCCCAGACAGCCTGCCTTCCCACAAGGTAACTGCAGGACTGAAAATAACAGAGGCCACGAAGCGGCAGGGCTGGGGCTGGGCCCGGGACGGAAAGGCAGCCCGAGCGTCCCCCGGAGCGGAGCGAGGACGGGGTGCCTAAACCCACAGAGGGCACCTGCACCGAAACACTGCGCTGAGCTTATCTTCTGCTGACATGAGACGGAACGTGCCCTGCTTTTAATTGGAACATTGATAATCCACTTGGAAAACAAAGGCATGAAAGAAATACTGCTGTAGAACGTGTTCCAATTCTCCTTTTTCAGAGATATTGCCATACTTACAGCACAAACAACCAAGAATAAAGACAAATTCAGTGCAAAATCATGAATATGCAATTGCTGCAGAGCAAATAATACACGTCCTGCTACTGCCAACGTACTGGAACTCACAGTTAAATCCTGGAACAGGCAGACGGTACACACACGTTGTTCTGCTTTCTGCAATCCCTCGGAGCGCCAGGGACGCCTCCTTGCAGCCTGCTTTCCACACTGAGGTTTAACCCCCCCGGGGAGAAGGGTGGAAACGACACAGTGTTCCCGGGGCTCCGGGAGGGAGGCAGCAGCCCCTGCCCGGCCGCGCAGACCGGCCCTTCGCAGAGCGGCAAACGCCAGCGGCACCTGGGGCAACCTCCCCACGGAGCTCCGTGCACCAGCCAAGGTGTGTTTCCTTGTTAATGCAGGATATAGAGCTGGGCCTCAGCTTTTAGTGCTATGTTTAAACGTTATGTTGGTGGTACACTTTAAATAAATTTCCCTTTTTTTTTTTCTTTTGAGTACAGTAGGTCAACACAGATAAATCATGTTGTTGCACATTGTTGTTGTTGCACATTGTTATTTGTCTTGGCAATATCCTAATCACACCCAGGATCAAACGGAACAATCAGGAAAAAAAAAAAAAAAAGAAAGAAAAAGAGGGTTCAGACAGACAAGTGTTAACAGAAGAACAACCGTGCCGTTCCGTGCAGGTATCTCAACCCCCGTACTCAACGCGCTTCTACCAAGCGCCACCGCCGGTCCCGCTGCCGCCATCACGGCACGCGGGGCCCGGGGCGGCTTCC